TTATGGAAACACGTCAGTGAGTTAATACCAATCCTGCTGATGCAGGGACAAAAATCTAGTTCAAAAAGAGGTAAGACCCAAGAAAGAAAATGTGTTATGAAGACTTGCTTCTCTTGAGGTGTATTAATAGGACCCACATTTTTAGAGCAGCTTAGCATTATTTACTTGATTAGAAAAGTGGTTTCAAAGTCTCAGTTCTTGTTCAGGTCATGCATCATAAGCAAAGTTAAGGATTGCATGTAGCTTATGGTTGGAAAAAGAGGTGAGAAGTGTATTTCCATTTTGTACTGGCTGAATTTTACTTTCCTATCAGCCAGAAGTGGCAATACTATCTTAGGTGCAATTTTTTGAGTTTGGTTTAGTCAGCATATTTCTGTTAGCATCTCTTTTCTGGAAGCTGGAGCAGATACTGAGGAAGGATCACTTAGTAATGGTCCTGTTATACATCCTTTTTTTCCTGAGCATGTCTAACCAGTCACTGGAAGAAATGTGATGCTGAAGTATGTGGAGGGTTGGCCTCATTCTGTGTACTTGTCATTTAAGCACTGGAAAAGGCTGTCTTACCAGCTCTAGGTCTTGTAGAACTGGAGTTACTTGAATGGAACTTGTTTGCATATAGGTGTTAGACCTCAACTGTTGTGACATGACTCTGATGGCACTTCTTACAGGTGACATGGGTGTGAAGGAGCACTTGACTTCACTAGCTGCAGAAATTGCAGATGTGGCTTCTCGCATCCCTGACTCTTCTGGGCAACTTGAAAATGTGCAGAGGTTAGAATTTTGCCAGCCTGTCTCTACTTTACCTGTAACAAAAGTGTCTTGCTCTTGATCCCTAAGGTTCCACGCAGCAAAATGCATGGGTGTTAGCAGCAGTCTCTGTATTCCAAGTAAAAGCATGCTACACTTGATGGGAAAACACTGTCTTTATATATAGGAACATAGGTTTTCACTGGGCTACTTGCAGTGGGTTTGACACTGAACTTGGCTGAATCTGTTGCTTCTTGCTGAAATGCACAGCAAGACCTTTCATAAATGTCAGGCCTCTCACATGACTGACTACTAGAAGTCTGGAGACCTGATGTAAGTGTGGGGGCAGTACCACAAACAGTGTTTTCAGAGTCTTTATAGGTGATCTTCAGTGTGAAGAAATTTAATTGTCACAGATGTGGAATGCCAGTGATATGAGTGAAGTTTTGGAGAAACAGAGTAGAACACTCAATTCTGCTTGTGGCGGAGATGTGTGTAGTAACTGCTTTTATCGTTTTGGTTTAGCTTTCCTGTTCTACCTTCTAGGGCTGCAGAAATAATAGCTGACATATCAGAGAACGTAACTGTCTTAAGAAGCATGCTGTTTGGTTCAGGTTGTCCTTCTGTACTGGAGAAGAGCTTCGGCACAAGTCCAACAAATCTTGAAGCAGAGTCAGCAAATGTTGAAGCACAGAAAGTTGAAATGCCTGAACTAGCTAAACAACTTGAAGGTGACTTCAACATCTGCTCTGATGCTACCCTTGCTGGCTTCTGGGAGGAAGATCTTAAAGAAGAAGCAGCAGAGAGAGGCAGCACTGTAGAAGATGGAGCTGCAGCAGCCAGCTCTAAGGACAAAGCAGGCAGAGAGGACTTCATGTCACTAGACATTACTGAGCAGGAACTTCAGGTCTTGGAATATCAGGCTGCAGAAGAATTCGCCAAGGAAGCTGCAGCTGAGGTAATGGGAAAAGCCACCATTAATCATGGACACCCATGCAGGGGAAGTGATCTCGTCCTTAATTCCCCCAAGATTTTTAAAAGTTCTATTCCTGAGAGACTATTATAGTGGGTTGGGACAAGGGCTCAGTCTGGAAAGTATTTGTGAGGGTAGTCAAGCACTGGGCTGCTTTTCAGTCATGGGGATTGGAAGGATTCTGAATCAGAAGCTCCAGATAATTTAATTAGTTTTCCTCTTCAGTTGCTAATATGCTATCAAGTAACTTCTAGCAGGATGGAGAGAAATTCTGCACTTGAGCATCTCTGACTTGGTCATGACTAAAAAAGCAGATCTTTTTCTAAGGGATCTGTAAACAGCAGTCCTTCTTGTGATTGCTGAGTGTAGACTGATGCCTCTTAACTCACATTCTGATTTTTCTTACATTCCAAGTGTTTCACACATCGTGATACTACTGGTTTTGTCTCTTCCTCCAGGGCATTGCTATATTATAATACTTTTTGGATTTTTTTTTTTTTTAAATGGGCATGCTTCAGAGCCTAATGTTGTGCTTAGTTTGGTGAGAAGTAAAAGCATACAGGGAAATGGCGTACAATATCTAGAGAAGGTTGAAAGGTTGTGGGTAAAGTAGAAATAACTTTGCTGATAAGAATAACTTATTTTTTCTTAGGAGGCGTGCTCCACAGACAACGAACAAAATATTTCCTGTGTCATTGAAAGTGATGAAGAGCTGGAAATGGAGATGCTTAAAGTGAGTGCCTCAGGGGGTTGGTTTTAATTTTCTTGGTAATGATAATGCTCTTGGTTCACAGTGGAGTATAATGTAGTTCAGGGGAGGGGATATGAAGCAAAAGTGTTTAGCTTACAGGAGATGGACAGAAGACAGATGAATGTGTGGATACCTGAAGAATTCAGTTTACTAGTGTTAGACTGCAGTATTGTTTGTGTTCTGCTGCATCTTGTCTGTACCAGCTTGGACCTGATCCACTCACTTGCTCTACTTATGTAGATTATCTTTCATAAACTGGTCTGCTTCACTTGTCATGCATTCAAACCCTTGTCCAAGTGGTTGAGCTGACAGGGCAGTTTGTGTGCTGCAGGTGCTGCTAACCTGGAGTGTAGGTCATATTGCTTTGTAGCCATGTTTTGCAGGCTTCTTTGTGTGATTTTAGTGGTATAACTTTGATTTCCTGAAAAGAAGATACAGATATCAAATCTTATCTTTTCTTTACCCTGGCTTTTCTTCTGATCCCCCAGAATAATATATGTATTTGGAGTCAAGTGACTGAATGTTTGCACCAGAGCAGTCGCATGTGTTTGTGTGCTTGTAAATGTGTGAAGTGAAGTGTGTTGCTTAGAGTTTGCTAGGACGCAAGACTCCAAGGTCAGGGGTAAAAGACGATTTTGCTCCTGGGGAAGTACCAGGTCTCATCTGGATGGTTCTTAATGCTGCATGTCAATCTTCTGTAAATGCTATTTTTTGTCAAAAACATTCACTTGAGTAGAAGATGTTTAGTTAGTGTTGGTTAGAGTACCTTGAGTGTAACATGACATTGGGATGACATCCTTTCTGCTTTTTTACTAGCCTCAGTCAAATCTGTGCCTTTATCTGCTTAAGTCAAAAATCCAGCTGTTGATTTTTCTCAAGCAGATTTTAGTGTCTTCAAAACTTCAAAGACATTTTTGCAGTGAAGAAACAAAAGCTGTTTTATTGGTATCCAGGAAATGGCTCTTGGAATTTGAATGCTACTGATAAAGCAGTTTGACCACCGTGCTTTTCCGTATGTTGCGTGTTGATAGATCTAAGTTACGTCATAAGCAGTTTGAAACTCATGTGTCCCTATATCATATTAACTCAGACATGCATTGTTATCTGCCCTTTCACGCTCCAAAATAACTTTTTTTCCCGATTCTCAGTCTTTAGAAGATGTAGATGATGCTGAAGGAGCTTTAAGCGGAAGAGAGTCCAATAAAGCCGGGAGAAGTCCTGATACAGAATTGAACATTTCACCAGATGGTGATGAAGATGAAGATGTTGAGGAAGAAGAGGAAGAATGTTTGGGTATGTTTTAAATTATAATGTATGATTAAATAAAAAATAAATCCACTGTCAAGCAGATGTGGAAGCACATGGACATTTTGTGCTTGGTTTCTTAAAGCAAAAATTGGAGCTTATCTGGGTTTTGAAAGTACTTGTCTGTGTGTCAGGATGAAAATGTGAAGGTGTCCTTGGCAAAACATATTTGAACCCTACCATGATAAGTAGGTGTTTTGTATGCTTGATGGGAGCATCAAACTGTTACGGGGACATGGAGGCCATACAGAACTGAGAGGAATGATTCAGAACACAGCAGAGGGGAAGATGGTACCTTTCTACGTGCTTTACTTTTGTTGTTCATCTGTTGTTTTGTGGTAGAATTGTTAGGAAAATCTGACTTGAGCTTGATCTTGACCAAGTGCTTTGGAACTGGCCCTTTGGGGACGAAGGAATGGGGAACAGAGGCTGAAATGTGAGGTGAAATACAGCTTGATTTTCCTCAGCTTGGACTGTTCCTGTGTGGAAGCTTCCTTCCTGGTTGTGGAAGTTAGACCAGGGTAGGAGAAGACCTGCTTTCTGCTTCTAAGCAGAACATGGGCTGCTAGCTTGGGACAGTTGAGTTACTCTTTTTTGTTCAGTTCATCTCTCTAAACAACAGCCAGATAAGCTATTACAGGGAATGTGAGCTTGCCCAACAGACAAAAACTAGGTGGAAATGTCATGCTTTCTACTGCTGAATGTTAGCTATAAATTTCAACAGATCTTGAATATGTTTCTTCAGTGCTCACAGCAGAATTAGGATCCCCTTGCACTTTTGGACCATGAATTTGTTAGCAGCTTGCAGTGCTGGGTGTTCCTCAGTGTAACTTCTGTAGGGTCTTTGAAGGCATGCCTAGTAAAATATCTCCAGTATCTTGTCCAAACATGTCCAGATAATGCAGTGACACATTAGAATACTTATTGCTTTTATTATGTTATTAATGAAGCCATATGTTCTCCTCTTCATAGGTTTGCTGGGGAGCCCCTTTGCTTTCTTAATCCTTTATTCTAGCCAGTAAATATCTTCAGAGTTTGATGTCTCTTTTCACTGGAGTTACTCAGATCCTGGCACCCAGGCATCACTAATCATGAGCAGACTGTTGTTTGTCAAGACAGTGCTTCATCTTTTTAAAATTTCATTCCAAGTGAAGCTTTCTCTCTTCTCTTCCACTAAAGATCCATTGCTGCCACTACCTAGTGAAAGACACAGCACCTGTCTGAAGACCTATTTTGGGCATTCCTCTTTTAAGCCGTAAGTATGTTTTCTGTTAAAATGTACACTCCAGGGTTCTTTCCCCCCACCCTCCCCCCTTCTTTCAACTGATTTTATTTTTTTTTATTACTTGAAAAACTACTAACAAGCTAGGACCTGTACAAAATCTCTAGAACAAGAAAAGCTGCTTTTGCTACAACAATATGTCAAGATAAATCTTTATGGAGTGTTACGTACAATACCATAATCTCACAGTCGACTATGAGCTTCTTGACTTTTGCTGATGGCACATCTTCTGTGAGTGAAGCTTTATTGCATCAGGTCTAGTTCAGGTGTCTTTAAAGAGCAAGCCGCAAACTGCACAGATGTTATTGTCTGTGTGATAACATTTCATAGTCTGGTTATCCTTTATGTGGTTCTAATTCAGGAGGAACAGACTTCTAGCTGTCTCATGTAGCATAATCTGAGTGCACCATGTGCCTTGGTACTTCAGCATTGCTGTTACAATGAAGCTCAATGAGAATGGGATGAAATCTTCCTGGATGGCTGGTGGCAGAATGCATTCTGTGCAAGATGCAGCCTAAGAGCAACACTTGGAGGGGGAAACTGTTTTACTCAGTATTTGGTAAACTTTTGGAAATGTGGGTTGGGGGGACTTTTTAAATTGTCTGCACAGTTATGTACAATTGTGAGACCATGGAAGGGTTGGCAGAATTGAGGTCTTGTGTTGAATAGAACTGTAGCACTGCGGGGTCTCCCTGCAGCAGCTGGATCATTTGAGTGGTTGCAGCCTGCAAGGACAACATGCTATGAGGCAGCCAGAAGGGTTTCTTCAACCTGAAATTCAACTGAATATGCAGTTTAACAAAACTGCCATGTTAAGTTTGGTGGCAAAAATAAAATATTCCCCTTTGTTTAATTGAAAGGGTCCAGTGGAAAGTGATCAATTCTCTTCTAGAAGACAGAAGAGATAATCTCGTTGTCATGGCAACTGGTAAGTTAACTTTACATCCTGAGAAGCAATGAAAAATCTTTTCCTTTTTGAGGAGAGTAGAACTCTAACTTGGAGACTGTGCATGTGGCTTACATGAGCAGGGTGCTCTGACTGAGACACTAAGTGTGAGCCAGCTATGCTAGCTACTTGTTTTTCTGTCCTCCCTATCATCACAAACAGCGTAGCGAGGGGTATCAGATGGATGCTGACCATATGTTGCAACTTTGTTCCTCTACTAGCAGAACAAACATCACTTCTTGGAAGGTGTCCCTGCATCTGTCAGTGGGGTTGGAACTAGATGGTCTTTAAGCTTCCTTCCAACTCTAACCATTTTATGATTCTTTTCTTAGGGCTCAACAGGGTGTTAAAATTGTTTCCTATAGCTGTATGTGGTAGCTGCATAGAAAGAATGATGTCTCATATCTGCTTTCCTTTTCTTTAAGGCTATGGAAAAAGCTTGTGCTACCAGTTTCCTCCTGTTTACACTGGACTTACAGGAATTGTCATCTGTCCTCTTGTCTCCTTGATGGAGGACCAGGTGCTGCAGTTGACGTAAGTAATAACAACAAGCTGCTGCTGAATTGCCAGTGGAAACCAATGGACTCTGCTTTGTGGTATTTCTTGGTGTTTAAGGTTGCAGTTTCATACAGCAAAGCTGTTTGTCAGCTGTAAAGCATGTGTTTCTTAAGGAACCCATACAAACTGTGTAAGCAGTCTAAGATCACTGGGTTTACCAGTTATGTGAATGGTAGGGTGGATTTGCAAAGGATCTATGCTGATGGGTTGTTCTTGAAGGTGGATCCTTCTTGCATATTTCTGGATTCATAGGCCCTTTTGTGCAGACTGAACTGATGAAGGAGCTTCACAGGCTATTTCAGCCTCTGAGAGTTACGTCAAAATTTGGTAGGGCTTCCTTGTTGGAGAAGTAACATCTAAGCAACTTGCAGCTGGAAGCTGTAGGCCATTCAGTTCAGTGTTACAGTACAGGCTTTGAAGATGGATGGTGTAGTAAGTCTCCTAACACCTGGCCTCTTTGCTTCTTTTAAGGTCTGATGGGGGGAACTAGTGGGTGACACTGAATTGCTCTTAACATGAGCAGTTATAGGTGGTGTATTAAAATCAAATAGGTTTCTCTTGACCCGATAGTGCTTTCTTTACATGTACTTGCTTTCTGTTATAACAGCTATTCACTTCTGACGCTTTTTCATTTAAGCTGTGGGAATCATGCTGAGTTGTCTAGTTCATTCCTGCCTTGTCCAACTTGGAAAGAGCAGGTCTTTTGTGAAAGAGAGGATATGGAGTTTATTTTCAAGTAAGGAACATCAGTGATGTGTGGTATTTTCTGCTGCACATTATGACTATGTGCGGATGAATGGCTGGGCAGCCAAAGCTGGCTCTGTAGCCAGCTTCTAGACTGAGTATTAATCAGCAGGGTGTCTATGTGTATTCTACTGCTTCTTTGGCTTTTATACTTTTTTCCTCAGTGGAAAGGGTTTATTCACTACCTTCTCAGCAGGTCATTCATTCTGAAGGCCAAGGAGATTGAATTTCCACAACCTAATGCGGTTCAGTAATTTGTCTGGCAGTCTGGGTGCAGTTCTGCCAAGGACTGAAACACAGGAATGAGAGGGGAGAAGCTATCAAACCAAAAGGCTGGAATAAAAATGCTGTAAATCACTTAAGTTAAGAGGACAGGTGTTGCAGGGTCCTGAAAGAGGTCAAATATGAAGTGGCTAAGCTGGTAAATGTAATTACTGAATCTATCATTAAAAAGCAGCCTCCAGATTGAAAAGGAGCAAATGCAGCACCAGTAGCTCACAAGAGAGTGGAAGGCAAGGCAAAAAAATTGCAAACTAGTAAGGCAATGTGGTGAACTGAGTAAGATCATAAATGAAAAAAAATGTATTTACTGTATTTTCTTCTTTTGGATGTTTATTATTAAACTTGTGCAAGGGAAATGGTCTTTATTTCTCCGATTCCTTATTGCACTAATGAAGTGTGTAGTGGGAGACAGCTGGAGGGGAAGTGGAGGAACATTTGGGTGGTGGGAATAGTCAGTGATGAATCCAGCTTTTTCAACAGGTTTTTCCCGTGAAGATCTGTTGAAGAAAGTAGTTTCTGACCTCACAGCTTGGATTTCTTTTATGATATGCTGGCATAGGCTGACTGCTAAGGCAGAAAGTGTTCGGAGTAAATCTGTTCGTGACTGTGCATCTTTACTTCCGCAGCATGTTGGGTATTCCAGCTTGCTTACTTGGTTCAGCTCAGTCGAAAAACATCAGAGAATGCATCAAAGGGTAAGTCTGAGCTAAGCTTTCTAGGACTGCAGGTTCTGATGTAGGTGTGTTTGAGAGGTAGGATGTCTCCCTGATCCATCATCACTGAATCTCTTGCTTCTGGCTCAGACCTAGAACATGGCAGTCAGTGATACTGCTTGCATCCACCCAGCCTGAGTGTGTGGGAGTCTATAGCCCATGGCTGGGGAGATGGGGCTTTTTGACTTGGCTTTATAGTTAGGATTTCTACATAATTTCACACACACAAGTTTTAGACCTGTATTTGTCACCAAGTCATCACAACAGTCCCCTCTTGTTCTAATGCCAGTACATCACTGCTGTTTTTCCTGTCATACTGTTTCTGCCTTGCCTTCCTATTATTCTGGAATGCTTTCTGTGGTCTCCACTTCCTTGATCTTGTTCCCTCTCCTGAAGTCTGTACTTGCGTTCATTTACATCTTCTAGACAATCATGGTTGTGGTTTATTTGAGTTGTGTGGGGCTTCTCCTTCTATGACAGCGTATTTTCTTGATGTTTCAGGGGGCAGTACAGAGTCATATATATGACTCCAGAGTTTTGTTCAGGGAACTTGGACTTACTTCAGGAGCTTGATCAGACTGTTGGTAAGTTGGGGGTAAGGCTGTGGTTGAGCTGGCAGGCAGCTTAAATGCCTAAATATTTTTATTCTTTTTTTAATACTTGAACACTTTTCATCAGTTTCTTCCTGCTAGTGAGTTCAGAGGTTACTGTAGTAGCCAGCAGTAAATGGTGTCAGAAGATCCTTTTACTGATGAAAAACAAACAAATCACCTAAGTGGTGTCTTTAGTATGTTCTTGGTGTGGGAATGTTAAGCTGCTAGGAGCAGAGGTGTTAAAAAAAACTGATCAATGTATGTCAGTAACTATTTAACCTTTTAAGTGTTCTAATCTCTAGTCTTTCTCAGAGTGTAACAATGAAACTTTCTTGTGAAATACTACAGAGGTGGTGAGGCCCTGGCACAGGTTGCCCAGAGAAGCTGTGACTGCCTCATCCGTGGCAGTGTTCAAGGCCAGGCTGGATGGAGCTTGGAGCAACTTGGTCTAGTGGAAGGTGTCTCTTGGCACCCCATGGCAGGGGTTGGAACTGGTTGAGCTTTAAGGTCCCTTCCAATTCAAACCATTCTATGACTCTTACCAGTCCTAAAAAGTCTCTTCTTCAAAGATGATGCAGCTGATGGATCTCTCAGTTGGGTAAATTCAAGGCATGTAGACCCCAAGAATTTTTTAGTAAGAAACTAAGTTTCTAGTACTGTTGGCAGGAAGGACAATCTAGGGAGAAGATGAGCCATCTGAATTTTCAGTGTTCCAGCAAACTGTATGCTTGGCCTCTCTGCCACTAGAGCACTTTAAACATGCAGATTAGAGTGGGATATCTGTACTCTAGTAGAGGGTTTTCTCTGATTCAGACTATGTAAGGTAATTTTTCCAGGGACATTTTTAACTCCTCTCTCGTCCAATTTTTCTGGACTTCCACTTCTCTTCAGTGCAGACCTGAGACTCTGAGGGTTTGTTTTACAACTGAGAAAATAAAGGTAATGACATGTAATTGCTATTTGTGACTATTATCCAAGTCTGGCAGTCAGGGTAGGAAAAGGTATTATTGGAGGTAGCTCAAGTTTTTGACCCATTGTGAGGGATGTTGGAAGTCTGAAGCTTGGAGAAGGAAGCAGACATAGTGCAGGGGGGAGTCTGTAAAAGCCCTTTAGCTCTTCTTACAGAAAAGGCCATTAAAAAAATGTGCCTAGGACTTTGGTACAGCAGAAGGCATTGTAGAAACAAGTATTAAGCAGACAACTGGTGCCTTCTCAGGAAACCTTGGGATTGAGCCGAATAAGGTATTTGTATTTAGTCATTTCCCATGTTGGTTTGTCTTGTTAATGTGTCCATGTTATGGTTCTGTTCCCATCAGGTATTACGCTCATAGCTGTTGATGAAGCTCATTGCATTTCTGAGTGGGGTCATGACTTCAGAAATTCCTTTAGAACTCTAGGCTCATTAAAGAAGGCTCTGCCATTGGTGAGGTTTTTATGTGTTTGATTTCTAATGTAAGAGAAGGATACTATTTCATTGTCTATGGTACTTTGAAATAACAGTCTTGATGTTGCTCTTGGGATTTACTTACCATGCTGTTTTGGAATGTGTGTAGTCCCTGTCAGTGACTGAGCTGTGTGGTTTTTTGGTTTTTGGGGCTTTTTTTCCAAATGCTTAAATGGAGGATATTCTGAACCTGGACTGCCAGAAACTTCTGATAATTAAATTACTTTGGATCCCTGTGCTGTGGAAGATGTGTCCCTAAGCTTCTAGTTTAATATTGAGGGATGTTTTCTAAACTGGCTGGCTCAGTGGCTTGTAAGAACATGCAACTGTGATTTCTAGACACTTTCCAAGAATTTACAGCAAAACCTCAAAAACTTAGACCTGAATGTTGCACGCTTTTCTTGGAAGTGTTGTCGTATGTTCCCTAAACTTAGCTAGCCATCTCAGAAAATGACTGTAGACTACTTGAAGATGTAACTAAAGAAAACATACATTCACAGTAAAACTCCTTATTTCAAATGTGCTTTCTGTCCTTGTCTGCTCTCCTGAACAGTGTAGACCAAAGGTCTAGGAAGCTAAATAATAACTATGTTTTTCAAATAGCTTTGCTGATCCAGTGATCATCAGCAGATAAAAGTGCCTGTTTACATGTTATTTCAGTTTCGACTCATGATTTTTTTTTTGTTTAAAACAAAAATCTGAGAGGTCTTAGACTTTTACTTTTCATTGTAGGTTCCCATTGTTGCTTTAACTGCAACTGCAAGTCCGTCAATTAGGGAGGACATAGTGAATTGTCTGAACCTGAAGAATCCCCAGGTCACGTGTACTAGTTTTGACAGACCTAACCTGTACTTAGAAGTTGGACAACAAAGTGGAAATATCCTTAGGGATTTGAAGCAGTTCCTTATTAGGAAAGGAAGGTAAGAATTTAAGCCTGTGTTCACTGACTCCTCAGATATAATTGAGTATTTTGGAGTTAAAGTAGTGTGTACTAAGACTTGGTAGCAGGTGAGGAAGCCCAACCATGCTAGTCACTTGTTGTGCCTACTCTCCTCTCCCAAGTTAAAAAAGACTTCTAAGTCAAGTAGCGATGGACCCCCACTGTCTGCATATTGCTTACTTGAGGATCTTTGGCATTATTTGATCCTCAGAGGGCCTGCTGTAGCAATTAAAATGATTATGATGGATTAGCTGGTGGGTAACTCTCCCTTGTGTTGTACAAAAGGCACATGAGTCCGCTACAAATCCATGGTAAGATTTTTTTTGTTTTCCACTAGAACTAATTGCAGTCCTTTTCTAGTAGCAGACCCAGTGGTGTACCTCTTCTGGTCCTGTTCTACTTCTTGCAAGCTATGGTGTGTGCCTTTACAGCAATATATATGATTTTTTTATTGCTCATTTGTACCTAGTTACATAAAGGTAGTCCTTTCAAAAGTGACAGCTGTAAAAGCGTATTTCTTCATGACTTAAAGGAAATTGGGAGGTCTTATCCTGCTCCTTCTAGAGATCAAAATCTTCTGTACTTTGCAACAGGGCCTACAAGAAATGTGGAGAGCGACTTTTTACAAAGGCCTGTAGTGACAGAACAAGGGGGAATGGATTTAAACTGACGGAGTGGAGATCGAGATGAGATCTTAGGAGAAACTTCTTCCTTGTGAGGGTGGTGAGGCCCTGGCACAGGTTGTCCAGAGAAGCTGTGGCTGCCCCATCCCTGGCAGTGTTCAAGGCCAGGTTGGACAGGGTTTGGAGCAACCTGGTTGAGTGGAAGGTGTCCCTGCCTGTGGCAGGGGGTTGGAAGTGGATGAGCTTTAAGGTCCTTTCCAACCCAAACTATTCTACGATGCTAAGTAACTTCCAAGTCATTTTCCAAAGGACAGACAATTTGTGTATGAGTGGACCATTTAGAAATCTGTTTAAATTTCTGTATCCCCAAGAAAGTGAACTGCTGTAAAAGCTATGTTCCCTTTTCAACTAGGTCCAGTCACACATTTAGTGGAAGGGTGGCTTCTTCTGTTCTGTGTCTTTACATGTTGCTATTACTTACAGCAGTTCTGCATATGAGTTTGAAGGGCCCACTATCATCTACTGCCCTTCCAGAAAAGCCACCGAACAGGTTGCGTCTGAATTGATGAAACTCAGTGTGGCCTGTCGTACATACCATGCTGGTATGGGAATCAAACAAAGGAGAGAGGCCCATCACCAGTTCATGAGGGATGAAATTCAGGTATGTAGGAAACTTAAGTCCACTTGGTCCTATTTATAATCTGTAGGGTTTCTGGTAGAGGAAAGAATTTGGGAATGTCAGCATGTGTTTGCCATTTGTCTCCAGTTCTGGGCAAAGAAATCGCTGGTCTAAGCTGACAGTAATAGGATTCCTGGCTGATGCTTCAAATTCCTTCAGTAAGTCTTTTAAAAATGTGTGACATCTGAGGAAAATAGTGGTAGCTGGAACAATATCATCAATTCTGTGAACTGCTTTCCTCCATAGCAGGCACAGAGTTATCCTGGGCCTTCTTGCGTTGCCCTTCATGATAGGTTTTTATGCTTGTTGTTGGAGAATAACAGCTTGAAACCACTCTAGCATTTGCCTCAACACATGACCACTGTCATGTTTATATTCCTATGCTCATACTCTGACCAGAATCAGACTTAATGGTAGTACTGTGGAAGTTAAGTGTGAGTTGGAAGCCATTGTAATTTAGGCTTAACTTTGAGTCCATGGCAAAAAGTTGTCACCAAATGTGTGAGCATTCACCCAGGCATATTCTTGATGCTCGTTTCAAAACTTTAAGTGTGTGACTCCTGTTTTGTAGTGTGTTGTAGCTACAGTGGCATTTGGAATGGGCATCAATAAAACAGATATCCGGATGGTTATTCATTACGGTGCCCCTAAGGAAATGGAATCCTATTACCAAGAAATTGGGAGAGCTGGTCGTGATGGGCTTCCTGCTGCTTGTCATGTGTTATGGACTGCATCAGACTTGTCTTTCAACAGGTAATTGACTGAAAACAACTGCTTTGACACAGATAGCCAGAACAGAGGAGCAGGGTAGGTTTTGTTGAAGATGTGATATATTTTTCAGAATGGTTCTAAGTCCTTTCCTGCATACACACAGTACTAAGTATGCCATGCTTCCAGAAGATAGTCCACAAGTGCACTAATGTTAGTGTGTCCTTGTTCCAGTTCTGCTTTCTTGAAGATGTTTTGCAAGGCAGGCAGTGACAAAACCTGGTCACTTGTCCTGTAAATTATCTGACTTGGTTTTAGACCCATCATCACACTTAAGAGTGCTGATGCTGTAGAATTAAGCGTGTCTAAATGGGGAAATAATGTATTTTCTTTTTTCTTCTGGGTGGAGGAGTGCTAGTTGTAGGAGTCCTGTTGATTTTGTCCATGGCTGTTACAGGACCACAGAAGTGTCTGTACTCAGTCGTTTGAGCTTGTCAGCATGCTGCCATCATCTGTGAAATCTATACGTTGTTTTTTTTTCTTCTGGGCAGGCAGAAACTTGCTTTGCTCAACTCTTGAGCTGAAATGGTGAAGCTGTGTTAATGTGGTGACCAACACCTCTGGTTTTGGTTTGGTTTTGGTGCCATGTGGCACAGTGAGTGTGGTGCAGATAGTAGCTCAGGCTTGGCTCACAGCAGCTCGGAGCATGGGCAGAGCGAGTGTTCCATGCACCTTTCCAGTACTCCCAGTGCATTTTCTCAGTTGAATGCTTCTAGTGATTACTATAAAGGATATAAAAATGAGGCAATATGTACATTTTGTTATAACATACCACCTCTGAGTTTCTTAAAAGAAGACTATCCTGACACACTTAGTAATGTGGCAGTAGCATTGATGAGAACGTGCCAGAGTGTGGAAAACTAGAGAGAGAGAAATTGCCCTCTCACAATGCCCTCTGCCCTTTCCTCCTTCCTCTGTGCTTTTTGACATGGATTTCTGAAGCTTAGTAGCCTGTGGGGCTGGAAAAAGCCTCTCCTGTTTGGAATAATGGTCATACTTAGAGGAATATGAATAAGGTGCTCTTCTGAGCATTCTCTGAGCTGTAATAAGAGTCAAGATTGTGGAGAAACAGGCAGGCAGTTGGGGTCTGGTTTTAGCAGGATTTTCTAGCTGTTTCTGGTGAGTTTGACTGAGGCAGAGGTCTGGCATGTTTCATTTTTGGTGCGGGACAGGGGAATAGTGGTCATGTTTAAGGCCGCTCTTTTTTCCTTTGACTGACAGACATCTTCTGAGTGAGATACGCAATGAAAAATTCCGCTTGTACAAACTGAAGATGTTGGGAAAAATAGGGAAGTACCTTTTGTCAAACAGCTGCAGGAGGAAGTGAGTACTAGAATCTATTCAATGCTTTGTCACTTGAGTCAGTTTTGACTGGAGGTTGTAACCACAAGGCATCTTATATTGACTGTGTGTTCTGCAAGCATGTTTTATACGAAGCAGCAGTATAAAAAAATATAGCCTTCAGCATATTTATACATATATATCAAGTGTTTCCTTATTTACTTGAAAAAAAAAATCCCACTTTTTCTTTAGAGGAATCAAGGGCAAATAATTGGCTCCCCAGTGAATTAATTAATGATGCTGGTTTCAACTCTGTTTTCTGCAATAAATTTAATGTGTAAATCTTGGTCTTTTATTTAATTCTCTACATTCCCTTGGGCAGAATTATTCTGTCTCATTTTGAAGACAAACAACTCCGAAAGGTTTCTTCTGGCATCATGGGCACAGAAGATTGCTGTGATAACTGCAGGTCCAGGTAAGCTTTCTTCCCTGAAGACTCATATAAGATGTTACATTCTCTCAGGCTGACTTATGAGGCAAATAATCTGGAAGAATTGACTTTTTATGCACCTGATCTTGCAGATGTTCAGCCTGAAGTTTATGTCTGAAAAACTGCCTTTAACCTTCTCCTAAACAGTTGAGCAAGCCATAAGGCAGTTTGAAACTGAACTGTGGGAAAGCCTATTAACAAAGGACAGTGACAGTTCCTAAAAGAGTTTAGAGTAACATTCATAAGCTGCGAGATACACTTCTGTTCATCAGTTTAAGATCTGCTAGGTAATTAATCCCTGAAAAAAACCCACCTGTAAGTGGAGTGTGATACCACATGTCTAAGGTTAAATTAAGGAAGTTGTTCTCCTCTTCCAGTGTGTGCTGACATGTGTTCTTTCTGGCACTGCTAATAATCTCATAGGTGTGCTGAAGGGAAGCCCAGGGGTCAGCAGTCACACAGGTATGAGCAGAAACACCTTTGGTTTCTCCTGTGTGAATGTACATGCTTTTCCTGAAGTTCATAATAAAGGATTCCTTGTTCTTGCTGGTAGCCTGATGCTTTTTGATCTGCAACAAGATGTTAGGCTGCTTTGCCTTCTGGAAAAAGTTATCAATTCTGCTAAATGTCCTGTATGCTCAAGGGTGAAAAATCTTTGCCTGGCCTCTACCGAAACTAAAAAAGAAGAGAACTTGAGAGATAATAATTTCAGTCCTTGAAGTCACGTTGCTGTGCCAGTGAAAGAGTCACATAGTGAATTTGTGTTGTGGAACTGAAATCAGTTGCCATAGATCACTGTTCATTTTCTCCTCCTGAGAAGTGATTTGTGCCAGTAATTCTTCAATGGGTTCTTTTAGTCAATAAAGGTATTAATAAATCCTAGAAATGCCTTAATGGCGTTGCTCTTGCCTTCTGCTTTTTATCTCCTTTGTTACCTAAAAAAGTAGCCAAAAAAAGTCTTTGCTATTGGGTGCAATTAAAGAAATGTCTTGCGTGTTTAAAACAGTCCAAATATTAAAATGCTAAATTCAGGAGATTGCTGAGACAAGGTTTTTCTGTCACAGCAAGTACCATGAAGAACTGCTTATTGTATTGCTGGCCAATACTTGTGTCTTAGCCACAAGTGATTTTGACTTTTTCCTAGTCTCACTGGTCTCTAGTGTTTTCGGTCCTAGTTCTTGCATTTAAAGGTGTTCAATTGTTTATATTAATGTAACTTGAAGTGTGTATTTTATTTAGTTGTCACTTGATAGTCAGTATTTGAAACTAAGGGAGTGGACTTGATTTGTATGTGTGTTCAACTTGGTTTTCTTTGTGCGTTTCAGGGTGTCTTGTTTTGCAGTCCCCAGTGACTTTGAAGGTGGTTTACAGGACTTTGGGAAGCAAGCGTATCAGCTGCTGTCTGCAGTGACCACCCTGGAGGAGAAGTTTGGAACTAGAGTTCCCATTCTGTTTCTTCGAGGGTCTGTAAGTGACAGTAAACACCTTTTGTATGTGTTCTGAGAGTGGAGGGACTGTTAATGTCCCTTTTTATTGATATACCAAACAGTACTTTGATATACATACATCCAAAAGTGTGTATACACACATTTACTTACTAACTTTTTCTCAGAGAGCTGGATATTTGTAGAGGCAAGTTCAGCAGCACTTCCCATGCAGCAAACTAGCTTTTTGTCTTTAAGGGCAACAGCCATAAAAGTAGTGAACCTCTTAAACATGTATTTAATTTTGTGCATGTACAGCAAAGGAACAGTTTCTGCCTTCAAACTCTTGCCCTCTCAGCTCTGTCTTTCTTAGCAGTGAAATGGAAATGTTTAGTGCTTTATGGCCTAAGAGTTCAGTTCAGAAATAGTACCTGTTATTTGCCTTGTGTGGAGCTGTCCTGTATTTGGTGGGTTGTTTTGAATTGACAGCTGTTTGTTAAACATATGAATGCCAGCTCAAGTATTGGCAGGGGTTCTAAACCTCTTCCTGCAAGGCTTGAACCTTTGTTTGCTTTATAGTGAGTTTGATGTTATCCTAGAAGTAGCTGAGTGTTTTTTGTTTTGTTTTGGGTTTTTTTATGAAGATGAATGATTTCCATTATCCTGAAAGGAACAGCTTTTTCAGAATGAAGAATAAACTCATCTTTGCTTGGTAATTAGTTGGTTTATGTTTGATTAAAGCAAATGATGCCTTGCCTTCTAGCTTTGTACTACTGGCTGGCTTGAAGTAGTAAGATGGGAAGCAGGATACTGGAATGAACGTAAATGATTTCTATGTACCTTTTTTCTTTTTCATTTTTTTTTTGTATGCTTCATAAATAGTAGACAAGAAACTCACCAAAAATAAAGTACAAGAGTAAGAACAGAATCACTGGGGGAATCATGTCCCTCTTCATTCATTTGAATAAGAAAGGGAGTTGCTAATTGTCACACATGTATGTCTAGGGGAAAAAATAGTGTTCTAGATTTTCGGGTAGTCATGATTTTTAATTTATTAGACAGTACTGAAAGAAGTGAAGCTGATACCAAATTTGCACTATAAACAGAGAATAACATTTTGCTGTCTAAAAGAATAAACTTTTCTATCTTAATGCAATTAAGAAAACCTAGTTTCCTTACTTTGTTGCATCAATATATACTTTAGAACAAATGTAGGAAGTATCACCACAAGTTTCTGCTGTATCTGTCTGAGGCTGACTGGTATGTTGCTTTAAGCATTTGTGTGTAGTATATGGATAATTCATGTTGCTCCTTCGTTGGGAGTGTGTTTTTTAGAAAGTCCACGTGGCCTCCAACAGTCTTTGGGTGGACCACAAGGGAGACCATGTTTCATTTAAGATATGGATGCTGAGTCTACTGTGAAAGCGAACAGGGTCTTCTGGGAAACTAAAGCTTCATTCACAGAAGTATTATACTAACCCTGCTAAACAAAGAATATACAACTTTATCAGCAAACATGGAATTTTGTACTTACTTCAGCAATTACTTTGTTACTAGTAGTTTCAGTGACTGGTTGTGTTTGGCTTATGGTAGTGCCTCTAGCATTTGATCATTTGTATAAAGCTGCATTTGCTATTTTGGCTTCTGTTGGTCAGTCCTAAGCAAGTTTGAAATGATGATCTGGCTGATGGAGTCTACCTGAACTTGTGCAAAGCATTTGACACTGTCACGCACAACAGCCTGCTCTCTAAACTGGAGAGACACCAATTTGATAGATGGATGGATACCTGCTGGATAAAGAATTGGCTGGGTGGCCACATGCAGAGTGTTGTGCTCAACAGCTCAAATGTCCATCTGGAGATGGGTAATGAGTGTTGTCTCCCAGGAGTCAGTGTTGGGACCGATCCTGTTCAACACCTTTGGTGGCATAGACAGTGGGATTGAGTACCCTCAGCAAGTTTGCCAAGACTGAGCTGTGTGGTTTGGTTGATACACTGCAGGGAAGGGATGCCATCCAGAGGGACCTTGACACACTTGTGAGGTGGCCAGCACCAACCTCATGAAGGTCAACAATGTGAAGTGCAAGGTCCTACGTCTGGGTCCGGGCAATCCCAGGCACAGCTACAGATTGGGCATAGATGTGATACAGAGCAGCCCTGCGGAGAAGGACTCGGGGGTGTTGGTCAATGAGAAACTGAACATGAACTGGCTTCAATGTGCACTTACAGCCCAGAAACCACCCGTGTCCTGGGCTGCATTAAAAGAAGTGTGACCAGAAGGTCAAAGGAGGTGATCCTGCCCCTCTACTCTGCTCTCGTGAGACCTCACTTGGAGCACTGTGTGCAGTGCTCGTGTCCTCAACATAAGAAGGACAGGGAGCTGTTGGAGCAAGTCCAGAGGAGGGCCACGAGGATGATCAGGGCCTGGAGCATGTATGAAGACAGGCTGAGAAGATTGGGGCTGTTCAGCCTGGAGAAGAGAAGCTGCGTGGAGACCTTATAGCAGCCTTCCAGTATCTGAAGGGGACCTACAGGGATGCTGGAGAGGGGCTCTTCATCAGGGACTGTAGCAATAGGACAAGGGGTGGTGGGTTCAAACTGAAACAGGGGAAGTTCAGGTTAGATCTAAGGAAGAAGCTCTTTCCTGTGAGGGTGGTGAGGCACTGGCACAGGTTGCCCAAAGAAGTGCTAAATGCTTCATCCTTGGCAGTGCTCAAGGCCAGGTTGGACAGAGCCTTGGGCAACATGGTCTAGTGTGAGGTGTCCCTGCCCATGGCAGGGGATTGGAACTGGATGATCTTTAAGGTCCTTTCCAACCCAAACCATTCTATGATCCTGAGCCCAAACACGGACACAAATTGTACTGGTTTGCATCTTATTCTTATTATAATAATTTCTATTGTTTAATTTCTTCAAGTTAACAATGCTCTGAAAATGTGGAGTCATTGGAGTAATGAATGTAATTTGCATAGCTGGAAGCTTAGGAGTGTAAGTCTTGCTTTAATGTGCATTAGAAGTTGAGTGAGGGCTCTCTAGAAGAGAGGACGTAGGACTTGGTGCTTTCTCTGCCAACAGATTAGATAACTCCCTTGTGTTCACCATCAGGACTCTGTGCCCTGATTCCATCCAGCAGCAAGCTGAGTCCCTCTTGCCTGTGCCTGGATGCTCCAGCTTCTATCCCCTGCTGCTAGAGTTCTTAAACAATCCTCTTTTGCTGTGTAGACAGGGTAGCAGCTCTTTGACCGTCTGAAGTTCTTCAAATTGCTCCTTACTGTATACCTGGAGATGGGAGTTTCCCCAGTGGAGAGGGATTCAGCAAGGCTACAAATAATAGGGTCTGAAACCTGCCTTGCTGCTGATTTTATATGCTAGCAATAAATAGAAACTTACTTCTGTCCAAGACTCTTCTACTTCCTAATGTGTGATCCCCTGTTATTTCCCTCTTTCAGAGAAGCTATCAACTTTTCAGGCTCATGCCAAGAGTTTCTCCTATGAAAGAGGCTTTAGCCTGTTCTCATCCCTTTGGGCCTTGAGTTCAGGGGGCGGTGAGAACCAAACAGACAGGAGCTAATCACCTTTTTTAGAGGCTGAATCAGTGGTAAGAGACAAGTAAATAGCAGCTGTTTAAAATAAAACCAACCAAACAAAAAACTCTTTGCAATGAAGGCGAGAGGAAGAGTAGAGCAGATGCATAGTGAGCCTGCTTCTGGCTTTTGTGCCCCTGTCCTGGGATTTAGTCAGGATTTATCAACTTATTTTTACCTCTGTACACACTTTTTAAATAAAACCAGAATCAGTAAGTTAGTGTAACACTGACCTGAACTGTCTGAATGCAGCTGCACTAGATAAATTTCTTCACTGGTATGGATGGCTGTGTTATCTCTGTAACTTCCTCCATACGTGAAGGGAGATGTTTTAATAGTTCTGCGATCTAAGTGTAGGTTTGTCTGGGGTCTTGCTGCAAAAGAAAGTCATGATCTTGTCACAGCCTTGGCAGAAAGTACAGGAGTGGGTTAGGGTAGTAGAGGTAAAACTGTTGTTCAGTTTCATGAACGGTGGCATGACCGAGGCCGTAGGCAGGGGTTATGCTCCTGTCATCGAGGTGCTGTAGGTGTGGTTATTGTAATGGGTATAATGGAAGCTTGAATAACTATTTTGGCTGGGGACTTTTCTGTAAAGTTCTCCTATGGAGAAGTATTCTTGAGGACATGATCCTTGAATCTTGGGTTTCTGGTTTACTGGATATATTGGAAAGTTCCATAAGGACTGGGGAAGTCTGAGCAATTCTTTCTCTAATTCCAGAGTTCTCAACGCTTGCCAAACAGATACCGAAGACACCCTCTCTTTGGTAGTGGAAAAGACTGGCCAGAGAACTGGTGGAAATCGCTCTGCCAACAATTGATAATGGAAGGGTTCCTCAAAGAAGTCTCTAAGTATAGCACCTTTACAACCACATGCGTGCTTACCCAGAAGGTACTTTTAGGTGTGAAACTTACCCATCAAAAGCTTCTCGCAGTAATCTATAGCTAAGCCATGAGGTTTATTTCTTACAGGGTAGAAATTGGCTGTTAAAAGCTGGATCTGACTCAAATCCAAGTCTTCTACTACAGTCCAGTGAAGACCTTAATCTTCAGAGACCACCTAGAAGGTAATTGTAGTACTTGTGTTCTCTTGAGCCCTTTTTTCTGTCATTTTAACACCAGATCCGTTTCTGGTGTTAAATTCTGGAGCCTGCTTCTGGAGATGGTGAGGTTGGACAGAAGACTTCTGCACTTGATGTTTCCAGCTATAACTTTACCTAAACAACTGCCACTCTACTCTGCTCTCGTGAGACCCCACTTGGAGCACTGTGTGTAGGTCTGGTGTCCTCAATGTAAGAAGGACAGGGAGCTGTTGGAGCAAGTCCAGAGGAGGCTACGAGGACGATCAGGGGCTGGAGCACCTCCCATATAAAGGCGGGCTGGGAAGATTGGGGCTGTTCAGCCTGGAGAAGAGAAGCTGCGTGGAGACCTCAGAGCAGCCTTCCAGTATCTGAAGGGACCAACAAGGATGCTGGAGAGGGACTCTTCATCAGGGACTGTAGTGATAGGACAAGACGTGATGGGTTCAAACTGAAACAGGGAAAGTTCAGGTTAGATCTAAGGAAGAAGCTCTTTACTGTGAGGGCGGTGAGGCACTGACAAAGGTTGCCCAAAGAAGTGGTGAATGCTCCATCCCTGGCAGTGTTTAAGGCCAGGTTGGACAGAGCCTTGGGCAACATGGTCTAGTGTGAGGTGTCCCTGCCCATGGCAGGGGGTTGGAACTAGTTGATCTTAAGGTCCTTTCCAACCCAAACCATTCTATGATTCTGTGCTAAAGAAGTTACTGTGAGTGCTTGGATAGACACTTCTGACTGCTGGTATGAAAAGTGATGTGTCTTTGCGGCTTAAATTGGATAGTCTCTCGTCACTGAGGTCTTCAGTGGAGCTAATAGGATGGCTGTGTAACTGGGGAAGTTAATGAAGAAATGCAGTGAAAGCACTTGATCTACTCAGAAAATGTGTGCCTTCTGGGTAGCCTGGAAGCATGTTGTAGCAATGCATCCTCATGGAGAAAGTAACCAGCTAAAGACAAGAAACGCGAGAGGAAAAATCGTCAAGATTGATGTTCTTCCTAATGCTGATGAATTATACTGTGAGACTTGAAGCAGAGCAGCTAGCAACTTTTCTCAATTATGCACTTGAGCTGCTTTTCTTAATATTTAAGCTGAGACTGAAGGGGGAAAGCCTTTGTTTCAACAAGAATTGATTCAGTACAAATCTGTAATACTTTGTATATTTCTGTGAAATTTAAAGGCCTGGTGAGTATGTCTGCAAAATTAGGGTATTTTTTCAGTGGTGGTCAGGTATTCGCCATCAGATGATAGAGCTCCAAGAAAATAACATGATGATTTTCTTGTAATTCTTTGTTTCTGGGTATGTTTAATAAGCAGTGTTGTCTTGGTCTGTACACATGCTAATTGTGAAGCGAAAGGTAATGAATTGGAGGTTGCAGAGGCTTTGCTGTGGCAAGAAATAATATTAGAACAGAGTTCTTCAGAGCTGGTCTTAAGCGCCTGTTCTGGTGTCTAGATTGTTGCTCAAAACCAAAACTGGGTAAAGACAAAGTAGCAATTTTCTTTTGCTTTTTAATATTCTACTGTTGTGTTGCTCTCAGCTGTTGTCTACAGGTCAAAAAAATGCTGGTTATTAAACATAAGCAACACGGAAAGCTGTGTGTTTAGTGCAAGCCAGAAAGTTAGTACTCATTTTTTCTCTAGTAATGGAGTCTTTTAAATTGAATCTTTCAAGTGTTGTCACAAAAATCTTTTCTTCCATAAGACAAGATTCTTGTTCCTTGTTAGTTTTAGCATTAAGAGGCTTTGAGGTCCTCAGTGTTTCTTCTTCAAGAATGGTGATTATAATAATTTAAGATATCAATAAGAACTTCTGATTTGCCCAAGATATTCCTTTACAAAGTTCAGATCAGTTTGCTTAGTACGTATTTTAAGTGGCAGTGTCACTGTACAAATAACTTTGATTTCACTAAGATATAATTTACTTCCTTACAGCAGCAGACCTTTACCTGTGCCCTTAACGCAGTGCTCACCAGTTAAGAAAGGAGCAAGGCAGTCTCCAGCGAAGCAGGTCTGTGTGAATATCACTCCTCTTGCACTCTATGCTCTGTCCATGCTTGCGTTCAAGAAACCTTGCAAGTGTCTCATGGTGTTACAAAAGAATATCTGGCTGCTAATAACTTCAGTGAAAAGACTCATAAATCAGCATTTGTTTGTTCTTGTTCTTCTATTTGTTTTTTTTTATATAGATGTCTCTGTATGATATGTTTGCACATGAGAGAAAAGGTAAAACTTCTCCAGGAAGTGATAACATGCTTAACAGGTACAGTATTCTAAAATATCACTTAATTACCTAATTTTAACTGTAACAGTAGGGATACTGATTTTAGGATGCTTAAAACCAGCATTTTCTCTTGTGGGAAGTGATGGTGAAAAGGCTTAATATATTAAAAAAAAAAAAAAGACTTAAAACTTACTGTACATCACATTATATTTCAAAACATTGAACTATTACAACATGTAATGGGCTTGGAATTTGACAAGTTGTGTATACTTGTAGTGTCACAGGCAAAGTGAGCTTTATTAATGGCTGAAGTGCAAACTTTCTCACAGGTATTACTTCAAATCCAGGCAAGAAAACCAGCTGATGCTCACTAAAAATGGAGCAACAGCAGATTGAGATTAAATGCTTTTCCAGAGCCCATGTTTTCTCAGTCTCTTCTAGGCAAAGGTTAAAACTAATGAATTTTAACTTGTGATGATTTAAAATAACAAATGGACAGTCATTTATTTCCCAAGCAGTTTGCAAATAATAATTCAAGCAAAAGAGTTATTAGGTTGTGACTTGCTCTTAAAGCTGGCAGAACTGCCTGTGTGCCTTGTGCAGGGACTGTAAGTGAGCATGTAGGTTTCTGCCTTTTTGTGTTAGTCTGGAGAAGACTGAATGAGGTTGGGGCTCCCTCAGGTCAAAAGCAATGAAACAAGCTTTTGCAAAAAGCAGAGCAAGTAATTTGTTTTCCTGGCTTGTGTGGTGCTTCAGATTAAACCTACCTTGCATTTCTGAGCAGTTTGATTCCTCCTTTGGGCCTGATGCTGAGAGATGACAGGAAAATAGGATATGTCACTTATGGTGAATAACTGCCACAGCAGCCATGTGAAGAAAAATCATTTTGCGGACAGCTATGATCCAAACAAGTATTATTTCACCCTTTGCTTAGGGAAGGATGATCCTACTCCCAGCTTGTCTGCTAAGAGATAACTGCAGTATAATCATGGCAGTCTCATTAGGGGCAAATGTCCTGAAGAATGTGAGCCTCTAGACTGGAAGCTGTGGTGCTGCTTTCTAGGCAGATGTGCCTAGCAGTAACATCAGCTAATTCTACTTACAGCTCAGCACCTGTGTTCTTGTCACTGATGCTTTTCAAGATATTACCTCTTTTTGGCCAGGATTATCAGCCGTGGGGGCGTCATGTAAGGTGTTTCTCGTGGGATACTGTCAGAATGATGTTATGAGTGGACAACTGCTTGTCAAAATGTGTTTTTGTTAACAATAGGAGAATCTAGCTGTTGATAGGAATATTGATGGGGGTTTTTGGTTGGTTTTTTTCCCCACAAAAGTGTTATTTCAGCTGCTTGAGCTCTGTGCAGTAGGAGTATTTTCAAGTTATGGGACCAGATACAGGATTTCTGTTAGAGTAGGGATACTGTTCATTCTGCCCCAACCAGCTCAACTCCTGTATGAGTGCAGCACTAGCACGAGGTGCCAGACTGCAGTCTGATGGCGTTGTCAGAAGTCAAAATAGGTTGGGCTGCTTCTTTCCCACAGCCCTGTGCAAAGTTCCTCAAAAAACTGATCTAACAAAGGGTTTGTTTCATGCTGCTTTATTTTTTTTGGTAGTGTTGCAGAGTGCTCGTTGGTCAGATCTCCTTTGAAGCCTTCAGAATGTGTTGTTTCATCCCGAGGAAAAGAGTTAGAAGTAAGTTTTGGGAAGAGGGAGGATACGGTTGAATTGCAGACCACAGTCATCCTAAATTGGAGCAGCTGGCTTGGGCAGCTCTTAATATTACAAAGATTTTTTGAATAGAAATCCTAGAAGTAGAACTGAATATGTTAAGATGGATTAGTAGATTGTAGTTTTCTTGTATGCTAGTGGGAAGATGAGGGAAGCTGTAACTCTTCCTCTCATATTAATCACATCAATCTAGAGCTGCTTCATGAGAATATGGCTCTCTTCACAGACTGCTCTCTATGGCAAGTTGCTGACTGCTAGACAGAAGGTAGCTAATGAGAAGGTAATTCCTCCAGCTGTCTTGGCAACCAATAAGATCCTGTTGGAGATGGCTCGAATAAGGTAAAGCAGGCATGTGCGCATGTTGTACAAACTAAGAGGATTGCAAGCGAAGTCACAAATCCCCTTTCTGCTCTTGTTGGGAGCATGTGTCTCATGGATAGAGGAACAGCTCTCTTCTCGAGAATTTCTGTTTAATACCCTTGTTAGACCACTGTCTGGTATAAGTTAAACAGTTACTGATATCAGGCTTGCTTTTTGTCTGTGTCCAAACCTCCTGTCAGGTTGATGAGTCAGAGGAGGGAAGTGTGTTTTCTACTAATCCTTTCCATTCCATCTGCTTCTCTCCGTTGTGTCTTAATCATTTTACTATGCCCTTATCTGCTAAGGGTCAGCTACGGGTCAGGAGCTGTCCATTACCTTGTATGGATAATTGGTGTAAAAGAATAAGCACTATTTAGTGTTGCTCTCAAGTACTGCAAGGAAGGGGGAAAAACTATTATTTTATTTATATATATTTTTTTTCCCCTCATTGTATGAGGGGGTATTGTGAAGCAGCTCAGTTGCTAATGCATCTGAAGTGCCTTTTCCAGCTACTAAAAGGCACTAGAGAATATTACTTGGGGAATGTGTATGTTGTTGTTCCATGTAAGGGCTCTGGGGTATGTGCTCTAGGGAGGTGAAGCAAATGAAGATGTATGTGGAGAACTGATCCTCCAAAATAGTGAGCAAAAAACTTCAAGTTTTTGCTCTGGTCAAGCTTCATGATTCAGAAGCAGCAGCAGTGAGCTTAAATAGTTGCAGAGACAATGAAGGTGCAGTAGTAACACTTTCAAGTCTTCGCTAATAGATCTGTAGGCATGGGTCATTGACAGACATCTGATATTTTGAAGCACTGGCATAGAACATTTCCACAGCTTTTATTATTCATCCTAAACCAGGCCTACGACTGTTGAGAACGTGAAGAGAATTGATGGTGTATCTGAAGCAAAATCCACCATGTTGATTCCTCTCCTGGCTGAAATTAAGGACTTCTGCCAAGTAAATAGTTTGCAGGTATGATTTATTACAGTGTCTGCTACTTCGCAGGAGTCTTAATAGTGTAATGTGGTCTGCAGCTGTCATATTTGTCCATGTCCTAGCTATTCCGTCCACGCATGGGAGTGAAGCTTGCTAACCTTGTGTACAAAGAGTCCTCACAAATCTGAATGTGCTCCTTGGCAATGACATCAGAATGACACTGAGATCTGTTCCAGATTGGTGTGGCCATCCTGGAAGTCCAGGACAACCTTATAAAGGTCACACATCTGGCCAGGCTGAGTGTCCAATAGGTGTTACCAAAAGCTTGCAGCTGCTTGTTGTGATTTGGGGCTGGAGGTCAAATTTATATAGATGTTCTTTCATCATGGCTTAACAACGCAGTAGACCTGGTGGGCAGGGCTTTGCTTCCTCTGAGTTTCTCCTTAGGAGACTGGCTGAAGAGCTTAGATTTAGAATCATGGAATCATAGAATAGTTAGG